ATTATAGTAGGTGCCCAGCTACACAAAATTTCACAGAAATCCTGGGAAGAACAGGCAGAACCTGTTCACTTCCCTAACAGCTTTGCACAAGACTAATCCCTAGTACCACCAAAAAATAAAAATAAAAATAAATAAATAAATAATTATTAAAATAATGTGCTTAAGCAAACAGGACTCCCCAAATTATAGTAGGTGCCCAGCTACACAAAATTTCACAGAAATCCTGGGAAGAACAGGCAGAACCTGTTCACTTCCCTAACAGCTTTGCACAAGACTAGTCCATAATATACTCAGTTGAGGATACTAATACTGGTATTTATGACAATTTGTTATTTAAAGGTTAAATCCAATCAAATAGCCCATTATTCCTGTACACATAGTACCCAGTGAATTTTCCTCATATTAATTGGCTAAGTAATGGGACACAGAGAGCCTAAGATGGTCCCAAATCAGACTCCATTGCTTTTATATTCATGTGCTTTTATATTCATATATTTGGGATCTAATTGATCCCAAATTTCCTTCAGTAGACAGTCTTTCTATTACCAAAACATCACTCCACTGTCTTTCCTGCTAGAACGCCTCTCTTCTATTCAGTTCTTATCTTCTACAGAGCACTATTCAAGACTTAATACCTTCAAAAACTTTCCTCAATTCTCTTCAGTGGGCTTAAGTCACCTCAACCAAACAGCTATGTTAGGAATTCATCTGTGTACCATTTACACAGCTGTATGTATTGGGCAAAGCACTGTGAGGAAGATTTATGTATTTGGTACAGGGATCTCACTATGCTTCTCAGACTCATAGTGATCCTTCTGTTTTCAGCCTCCCAAGTGCTGGGATTATAGGCATGTGCCACCATGCCAGATGGCTCCATCTGCCTGGGGTCAGGTCCAGCATAGCACGTGGTGCTACGGATAGAATTCCTGGCCCTATGCTTGCTTAAGCAAACAATTAGTCCACTGAGTTATCTTGCCAGCCCACATTTCACAAACTTTCATCTGTTCTTTTCACTTTAGAGATTGTTGGCTCAACCATATAGGTGTATTTGTTTCTTTTCTCAATAGTGTTTCATATTCTGTATCCAGAGTAGATATAATTTCAATATATATAACATACACTACCAGTATTTTGAAGCTGGATATTATTACATTTTCAACCTCTAACACATCAAAGTCCAGTTTAAATTTTGAATTAAATATGTAAAATTAGCTAATGCTAGTATTGTTTCTAGCCTGTGCCATCTTCCTTTTTCACCATAAGTCTTATACACATTCTCTTCTCTCTGCCTGAAATGCTTCTTGCATATACATGTCTCTATATACTTTCCACCATTCTTATTTGCTTAGTCAAAGTTCAGGGATTCTTATGATCTCAGACTAATCATTAATTCCTCCATTAAACCTTCCCGGCTCTTTCTAAGCCAAATTCTCTTATCAGTACCATATATCTTTATAGTACCACATATCTGACTTCTATAGTTGAATAGATCACTCTTTTATCCATTCCCATGACAATAGTCAATTGTTAGCCCTTTAGAGGAGACAGTACTTCACCAATAGAAATGGGCAGTCATATGATATTCTTTAACTGTGACCCCATACAAAATCACAGTGAAAGCCAGAGTACATCATTTATGAACACAATTTAAACTTCAGAAAGAGGGGACATATTTAAAAGAGAAGTATTCTTGGAAAAGAAAGTCCAATTATTTCTTAAGTGGTATAAAATGAAAAACTTTGGTAGACTCTTAGAAAAATCTTCATAATGCTAAATTGAGGTTATTGGCCAATAGTTCTATACTCCCCTTATTTTTTTTAGTACCACAGATTGAACTCAGATCCTGTACACTGAACTGCATCCCTAGCCCCTCCTTCCTTCCTTTCTTCCCTTCCCTCCTTTCCTAGACACGCTCAGTCACACAGTGTGGGTTTGAACTTTCAATTTTCCTGTGTCAGCCTCCTAGAATGCTATGATTGCAGGTGTGTGCAACTAGTATCCGCCTTATCACATCCACTACTAACACACACACACACGCATGCACACACACACACACACACACACACACATTTACTCATTAAAAGCAGGAGGTATCATACAATGTTTTGGGGATTCACAGAGTAAAAACTCTAAAGACGGGCAAACTTTCACCTTCTACCACTCATAAGAAGAACGATGCTGTTTTTGTTTGGGTCTTGATTCCCCTACAAAGCCTCATGAAGCTTTAGATGGGGCTTTTTCAGAGATGGATGAATCTAGAGTGTGTGATTGATTGACTCATAGGGCAATGCTAAGATTAAGGGTGCTAAGATTAAGAGTGAGTGGCTGCTGGGCCAGCCCACTGATTTTCTTCTTGACACCACCATAACCCCAGTAGATTGGATGTACTACAAATGAAAGTAGACTGGATATACTATAATGGAAAGAAAGAGACTTGTCTCCCTCCTTACCTTATTACTTTTGCTGTCTTCCACCACTATTGACTGTTGCTGCTCTGCCAAGTGCCACTTTGCCTTGTAACCACTGGATTGTGAACAGAAACCTCTCAAAACTGTGAGCTAAATAAAACTCTTCCACTTTAACTTTGTATGTTGAGTATTTCGTGTCAGTAATGAGAGAAAATTAAGACAACTGCAGACTTTGTAACACAAAATTCACAGATAGAAATGTGAGGTTTAGGAACATCCCTACAAACTCTCTCTTTCCATCTCTTTGTAGTGAAGGTAACCAC